TAAAAGCACTTGTAATAAATAATCAATCTCAAACACTCTATTTCTGGGAAAGGCACTCAAGATTTGTTCATATTTCCAGACAAATCTGAATGAAACTGCAAGAAGAAGCTGAAATTAAGACAAGATGGCATATTGTTGGTGAATAGGAAGCTGGATTGAGAATTGGGGTCTGTCCTCTTCTGACAGGGCTGCACTCCTCCAAAACAGAGCAGGCTCCCAATCCGGGCTCCTTGAGCATCAGCAGTCACTGGATTCACAGGTGGCAGTTATGGCAAAGAACAGGTTTACACCTGGTGTGCCAGCTGGGAGCCTTTCTGAGCAGTTGGATTTGGCAAAAGTTACCCATGCTTTGATTTCTACCCAACATTACTGCAGTGTTCTCTGCTTAGAGGTAACGTTGAAAAGTGTCCAGAAGTTGCAGTTGGTGTAAAATGTGGCAGCTAAGCTGCTAACTAGTGAAGGAAAGACAAGGATACTCATCACTTAATGAGCCTGTACTGGTAGGCAGTTGCTTCCTGAAGCACAATGTAAAGATTATTGACCTTTAAAACCTAAATGGCTTGGGGTCCTCCTATTATGACTGAGTCTGGCTGTTTGGAACCACAGGAGAGGCTCTCTTAGAGACGCCTCTGCTGTCAAAGGCCTTCTCTCATGTAAGGGGTGGGGGGCAGGGAGCTCCTGCACTGCTCCCAGGACCTGCCTACATGCCTTCCGGAGATGCACTCAATCCCCTCTCTTTGGCATTTGCAGAAGCTGTAAAGGCCCCTCTTTTGCAGGGTTGTCATTATTAATCATAGAATTCGAGAGCCAGAAGGGGCCCTTGAGTCTAACCAGTGCTCGGGGCAGGATCCAAATTAAAGCATCCTCAAGATATGGATGCTTAGTCTTAGTCTGCACACATCCAGTGAAGACAACTCCCTGCCTGTCCAGCTAATTGGTTCCACATAAATATATTATTAATTTTAATGTTTGGGATTCTCTTTTGACTTTAAGCTCTCCGGTATTTGAGTGAAAAGAATTATGTAGAGAAAAACATATAAATAACAAGTAAGTGACTCTGCAACTCACTTTGGATTCAACTGGGGCATCCTGGTTGTTGAAAGCCTAACATGGCCAGAGCCTGAAGTTGGAAAACACTGTACAAATACCTAAAATTCAGTGATGTGGCAGAAAGTGCTTGTCTCATTCCCACTCAGAAGCTGGTCTGCTAGTAAACCATCTTGCCCTTTAGGTGGTGGGGAGCCCCCCCTTTCTCGTCCTCTCCCATCTATTCCACTTCTGTCCTCCTTCTCCACGGCCGACGTAGACTGAGCAAGCATGTGCGGCTTCTGGTTCATGATTGCTGCACAATAAAATAAAGAAGGAAAGGGGGGTGGGCTGACATCTGCCAGCAATCTTACTTGAAAGACCCCGGTTTCCTATTGGGTGAATACAGTGGGGAGGAAAGATGGAGTCAGTCTATCAATTACAGTCATCAATTCATTTTACAGCAGTCTCCCTTTCCCCAATTTATTTCAAAGGTGGGGGGTGATAGAATGTCGAGAGATGAGTTAATATACTTCCACCTCATGATCCTGCTGAATGTGGGAGGGGGATGCCACAGCAGAGGGTGAATTAGGCTTCCCACTCCCTTCTCAGCAACTTGTTCTAAATCCTTGATTTTTTCCATCTATGTTTAAAAATGATGTGATGATGGGAATGACCAGGCAGCTAACCAAACTGTCCACCATAGTCTTGCAGCAGCAGGACGAGCAGATCAACATTTATCTGTCCAAGACAAGAGTGGGCTCACATTGGTTCTTTGGAAACTATTCTGGTTGACTGTCTGCCTGTCTTGGCAGAAGCTAGTGCCTTCTCCTGAATTTGTCCCCAAAGGCAAGTACTCTTTCCACTAATGTGTGCAATCTTATTTACACTTGACTGCATTATTACAGCTGTGATAAAAATCATGCAAATTCAGTAATAAAAACCCTTCACTTTGGGGTAAGCATATAAAGATGCTTGCAATTTGCCCTTAATCTTTAAAAAGGGAGAAAACTATGATACCTTAGGCTCTGTTACACAACATGCCAAACATGCAGGCTGGCATTCATAAATACGGGTGGTACATTTACACTTAAATTGACATTCTGACAAGATTAGTATTAACATTATTTGTATTAATTTAAACTATTGTCCAAATCTTTAACCAGAATCAGATATTCATCTCACGTAGATGATGCTGAGTGTCCTAAAAGTATAGCAAATTTAATTTGTCATTGTGCATTTCCTGCCATGGAGGTGGACCGGTGCCTTTGGTACCATAATGGAGGAAACAAGGATTTTTTTGCCTCCTGGTCAGTCTTGGACAGTGGCATCACTGTATTGCTGTGCCTCAAACACCAAAATCAATCAGGCTGACCTTTTTTATTGTTACTGCCATTAATTAATACAGTGCTTCTGTTCTGTTCAAGTTAAGTTTGTACAATTTAAAAACAGGCAAAAAGTTCCAATTGCTCATACAGTTTATCGCTAGTGAAGTCCATCTATCCGTATGCGTGTATGTAAATCTCACAATGGAAGTGAACTAGTTGTATTTTAGCCTTGGAGAGGCCTGCTTGGAACATATGTGACTGGGCAGGTATGTCACCTCCATATGGAATCATATACAACAGGGGAGTCTGAAACCCTATTGTCGTTGTAACATTCAAGGAGGAGGAGAAGAAATGTGTGGATATCTATGAGTATTACTGTAAGAGTCCACTTAATGGTGAATTCCTGAGCTGCATAAGCAGCTTCAGAAGGGAGGAAAAAGCCACATTCAAGATCTGACAGCTTCCTCTCTTCGGGTGCTTTCCCCGCTCTGCCATCACCTGATAAAACTATCTGTCAAAATATCATCAGGGGCCCTCCAGCATTTCAGACCAGGCCCCTCAGGACAGAACCACCAACCTTTTGTAGGCAAAGCTGCTGTTCCCAAACAAAAGCAGCCACTGGAGGTTTGTTTATGACCAGGAAGTACAACTGTATCTGCACTCAATATAGCCAGCCAGGGCAAGAATTAAGTTTATTTTCTTTAGCACAAATAGCAATCACACAATGTCTACAAAGGGCATCCCAAGGAAATGCATACATTTATCCCAGGCTCATTAAAAATTACATCAAGTCCTAGATGCAGATGAGATCTCCAGCAGCTGAACTGGGTTTGGCTGAGCAGAGAAAATGGAAACATCAAGACCAAAGTACAGGTGAGCCAGGAAGCCTGAGATTGTATTTCCCATGTCCATCTTCATGAGAGCAATGATGGGGCATTTCAGTTTGGATTATGCTTATGGTCCAGGAGATGGGAGTCAACTCAAATTAGTAGCCACATTGGCTGCTATTAGTCACAGAAGAAAAACAGACCAAGTTGAAGTTTAATCCCCCCCCCACTGTACTTCAGCACAGCCTCAACCAGCATCCATATGGCATTTTTTAAAAAGGAAAAAAGAAACAAAAGAAACTGCCAGAAATTCAGAGATTTCAGGATGAATCATGTGAAACTTAATCCTCCATTGCTAAATTTTCAGGAAAGCAGAAACACTGGTAATAAATAACCCCAGCATTATTTAATAATACTTAGGTAATATGAGTTGAAAAGGGAGCTGAACTTCCCTCACCCCATTTTCATGGCTTCATTTGTTCCTTTGCAGCGGGGATGGGAGAAAGAGGCTTTCCAAGATTGGGGAATTTTCCCCTCGGGCTTAGTTGCCTGTTCATAATCTGAGAAATATTGCACAGTTCTCAATCTGGGAGCACCTTCTTAAACTGCCCATGGGAATTTGCTATCTCAGCCTTGCAAGACAACAAGCAGAGGGGAGACTTTTAGGTCAAATATTCCTGAAAAATTCTCCCAGCTGCCCCATCTCAGTTAATCATTTTAGGTGCCCATGACTAAGGCAAGATCAATCCACCCCACCTTTGCTCGTCTAAGGGCTGAGGTGGAATATGTGTTCGCTGGGATTCCTGAAAAATTCTCCCAGCTGCCCCATCTCAGTTAATCATTTTAGGTGCCCATGACTAAGGCAAGATCAATCCACCCCACCTTTGCTCGTCTAAGGGCTGAGGTGGAATATGTGTTCGCTGGGATTTTACGTTCGTCAGTGCCCCACCTCCACCTCTTCTAATTAAGTGTAACATATTGGTAAATTCTGCAGTTACGCATTTCCACAGTTTAAGGACCAGTTCATACTTCTTCCTTCTATTCATCAATTGACCAACAGTAGACCTTTCCTTCTTCATTGCCAGCCAGAAGCTTGGAATGATTCCTAGGGAAGAAGTAGAGATAGGAAAAAAAAAAGAGTTTTTAGGAGTAATATGGTTGAGAACACTGAAATCATATGCTTGTGCTGGAAATTATTATTATAATGGGAGGAGGAGGAGGAGGATTAGGATTAGATATCTATGACATTTTTAAGTCAGATCCATACTTGACAGAAATAAATCCCTAGGAATAGCTTCTGGAAAAAATAAATATCCTTTATATTCTAATCTTTTCCCTTCACATGGTGACCCTCTGTTCTTCAATAGTTATCAAATATTCTGACTCTAATCCAGTCCAGTTTGAAAATACTTATTTGGTGTGTTATCTGAATAAACAGGTCACACCAAGTTCACACTGCTTCTTGGCCTTTTGGCCAAGATTGTGATATTGTGTGTGTGTTTGTGTCTGTGTGCACATATGTAGTTCACAAAGTGGTCAAAAGTTGCCCTCTTATATCTGGAGACTGCAACTCTTTTTCTCTCTGGGGGATGTCAGGTCCAGCTCAGAAGTAACCTTTCTGTAGAGATGGGCGTGAGACTGAACTGAATAAAGCAACTTTATATGGGAGTATTCGGTGTGTGTGCTGATGTTTTTTTAGGTCTCACAATATCGTAGGTCAATTGTGTTTCTTTGAAAGACTGAAAATTAGGGTTTTTTCCCCTTGACCAGAATCAAAGATGAGGCCTTTCAAGCTGTTAGGTTCAATTTTTTGGAGTTGTTTTGTTTATGACAATAATTCACTTATATGTCTTTTTAAGAAGAAACTAGTGAGTTCAGATAATTTAGGTGCTGTGGCACCTAGAATGGAAACTGTACAATATGATGTGGTTGTGTTCTGTAGTGGTTCCCTTTATGTCAGATAATATTTTAGACATTAATTTTGGTTTGGGAAACTGATTTCACTGATTTTGAAAAAGCTAAACAAGGTCAGATCTGGGTAACAGCAGAAATCTGGTGCAGGCTAGACTGGAAAAAGACAATGAAAAACTATGAACACAGAAAATAAATACCAGAGAAAAAATACTAGGTTTAAACACACACACACGAAGTAAAAAAAAAAAAAACCACAGTATTTCTAGCTAAACATTATTCTCCTTAAGCTTGCAGAGATCACTGCTCCTGAAACAGACTTCTCATCCCCTCCAGATCCCTGGGGATTCCAGTCAGTTCATTCTGAGGCTGCTGGGAAGATGGAAGGAACCCCGTTTCCCTTCTCTGCCTTGGTTCCCAATTTCTCCCCTTGTTTTGAAAAGAAACAATTTTTCTCTGTAGCAAAAGAGAAGAGATCTTTGGGCAAATTCCTTGCTTCCATAATCTTGTCAGCTTGATGGTGGATTGAAGCTCAAACGCCACTGACTACTAGGGAGTGTGAGAGGTGGCTTGCCTGCTGATTCACTACAGTGGAAAGTTCAACAATATTTTTTCTACTACAACTAAAATAATTATTTTGCTTTTCAACTAAAATGGTACCAAAGTTCAGAGGCATCCTAGTCAGGATGTTTATTTCAGAACTGATGCGTAGCCCCAGACACGTTCTTGCTGCTAGAGACAAATGGAGACATTTGGTGGCCAGGTAGGCCATGCTGTTCTTCCATAAGTTGTTAACCAACACTGTGGGAGAATATGGGGCTGCTGAATGCGGGCAAGAACATTTCTGTAAAGGAACTTTTTTTTTAAGATTCTTCTGTCTTGCTATTATTGGTAAACTTTGAACTCTTCCCCATTCTAAAAATGTTGTGGCCTCAGGGGGAGGCTGTGAAGCAGGAGGGGCCGTTTGTTACTACAGGGTGCCGCTCAGCACTTCTCATTCAGAGTCACTTTTTGCTTCTCAGAAACACCAGCATCTTGCACGATGGAGACATACATTTGTAGCTCGTGTGCCCTCTAGTGAACATACAAGGTACTGCAGCCAAAACGCTTACCTGGAAACGGCCAGCGCTGTGATGGGCGAGGCGGCTTTGCTCGGTCCCTCTGCTGGAGCCATACTCAGCCGCAGCTCTCTGTGGAGCACAAACGCCTCCGCCCCTTTGCCGCCTGCTGCGAGGTTAAAAAGGAATCATAAAATGGTTGGGATTTTCATTTTGGAGATGAGAAGGTGGGCTGTAAATGTTATTATTTATAACTTGTTAAGTGAACAAATATATTTAATCCTGGCCTGTACAATTGCCAGAAGGGCCTGTCCCAATTGAATTTTCAGCCTATGATAGTTACATGTGCTGACGTGTGGTTATATCAATTGTGGCTAAATTGGATTTGTGTATTATTGCTTTCTAAATTGCATGCCTAGTTCAGCAAAATTGTTCATCAGTGTTTACTGTTTCAGTGCTTAATAAGATGTCCCAGAATACCTTGCTGTCAGGATATAATGCAGCCCATAATTGCCCAGTTAAAACAAATTGCATAAAGTCCTGGTAGTGTCAACTTACCTAAATCTGTTCCTCATACAATCAATAATTAAATGCCAAGAATACTGCGCAAATAATGTAACTCAAAATCATGGTTCCTTCAGGTTTTTTTTAGTGCTCATGTTTTGGATTAATCATTCTTTCCACAGTGTTGCAAAACAGAGAGGAATATCTGGCTGCTGCTGAAAATACCTCAAGAACAAATTGTTTTGAGGGAACAAGAGGCTGCCGTGATGAGGTCTGCTTACTGTTCAAAGATCTGGCATGACATCTCTGGATTTGGATCAGGGTAAGAATTTATGGCCTCCAGAGTGACGCGATGCAGAGCCGCAGCTCATCGTGGGATGCAGCTCACCATCTGAATTGATATTTACCTTCTGCAACCTACTGTTGAAGAAACGGCAGTGGGGTTCTCTAACGTTAGAGTGTTTTATAAACGAGGGCTGTACTTGTGCTATAAGTACGAAGAGGAGGGATGGGCCATTAATCGTTACTGATGATTACGTGCCATCAAGTCAGTGTCAACTCTTAGCAACCACACAGACAGTTTCTCCCTGACCATGAGAATAATCATCTCCAGTTAACGACCTATCAGTTCACGTGATGTGTATAAATTTGCCTTATAGTGGAGGGAAAATGCTTGCTGGTCTGTGTACAATGACTCCCCAAAGCGGATCATTTGTGTATCACTGTGTATATACATGCGTGTGAAAATATACAAACGCCAAAATCCAGCCGGCTGTTGATCTATTTAGTAGACGTTTGTGGTGCCATTTACTGAGAGGGCAAAGGCTGGAATGTTCATGCCATCCAAGCCAAGTTCTGCGTTTCTCTCCAACTGAGGACGGAGCAGAATAAAAGTTTGCGGAGGGAGCCCTCTACTGGCTGCTTGCAGTCTGGCAGCTCTCCCCTTCTATTCTGTCCTGCTTCATAGGACAGAAAGTTTTCAGCCTTCTCCCCAACTGATACAGGATTGGCACACATCTTGAATCTCCATCTTTCTCTAATCATTTTGTGTCTCCTTTTAATGACATTTGTTGGTTGGAAAAGGTGTTACACGACTCATTCTGATTTTCTGCTACAAACAGCTGTCCTACAACATCTGCTGAGCCCTATGTCAGTCTTGTGCCACGTGATTTATGACCTAGATTTTAAAAAGTTGCTTGTTCATCCTGTATTTTTACAATATCTTATCCTCAGAAAGGTTTTGCCTCCTCCTCCTCTTGCCGTGCAAAATCATAAATTGGCAGAGGGCCTTAGAAGCAGTTTTCACCAAGCTCTCGTTGATGCAAGAAATCCAGAACCCCCAACAAATGACTCTTCCAGCCCAGGAGTGACTGGGGTGGAATACCGGGAAGCAGAATTGGACCATTCTCTCAAACCAGGCAGGAGAGGTGGTGGTCCTGTACCTGTACTCCCACTCCCTGCCATTTTTTTCAAGAGCAATAACTCCTGCATTTGTCTGTGCAGAATTCTTTCCTGACTCTAAGAAAAGAGCCCCTGAAAAGAAGGCTCCAAGGGGACACTTGAAGAAAGCCATACTGGCCGCTCTCCGCTGGCAGCAAATGCCAGTCAACACAACTCCATGGTAACTCGGGCCCCAGTGCCTCACTCTATGAAAGAACCCCTCTGAATGAGGCAGTGGGTGCAACGTGCTGCGATGATAGGGAAAGATGGCTCGTGCTGGGTAGGATCACTTGTCCTGGGTAACACCACTGAAGCAGAACAACAATGGGTGGATAAAGAAGATAGTGATACATCCTGCTGGCATGGATACCAGGACATCTTGCATGTCCCCTGGTGGGTTCCATTATCCACCTGTTCTTACTATTAAAAAGGCTTCTGTATTCATCTAGATTCTATCCTCCTGCATATATAACATCTATAAGATGTAGTTCTGCCTTCTGGAGCATCAGGAGGGGAAAAAATCCAGTTATATTTGACAGTCCAAGGAAGGGAGGATAATGAATGACTAATTAACAAAGAGAGCCAGCTTGGGGAGGAGCTGGCCTAAAACCAGGAGACGGTGAGTTCTAGGCCTGCCTTAGGCATGACAGCTGATGGGTGACTTTAGGCCAGTCTCTTTCTCTCTCAACCTGACCCACCTCACAGGTTTGTGGTGGTAGGGAAAATAGGAGGCAGGAGTAATAGGTATGTTCATTACCTTGAGTTATTATTAGATTTTTATCTAATTATTATTTTATTATAATAATAATAACCAAGAACCAAAAAAGGGAAGGAAACGAGTCCCATATAGCAGTGCAAAAAAATGTGTTAGGCCCAACACATTTCAGAGATCCTCCTTTTTCAAGGGCATTTATAGACTCATCCCAGAGCTGTCAGCATAGTCCTAAGCTTAATATTGCAGAAAAGTGATGCCTGGGTTTTCCTTACCCTGTTTTGCTTGGCATTCACAAGCGCTCTCCTCTTCCACCATCCTCTTTCTGTGGCTCAGGGGGAAAGCTTCTTCAAGCTTCCAGACCTGAAACATCCAGGAAAACCAGTGAAAAGCAGTGGAACCCCATCCCCTCCCCCACCATAATTGATTCCATAAGCTTTAATGGATTACTCAACTCTCAGGCAATAGTTTGTGAGTTACTTTAGCTGTGAGAACATGGTATTTTCTCAGATCTAGTTTTAAATACTGGCTAGGCAAAAATAGGAAGAGCAAGTAAGGGGGTTAAATTAACTAAAAGCATAGCTTGAAAAACAGAGGGCAGAGAAAGGTCCTAAAAATCCCATTTTTTTCTTGAGGATTGTTTGCTGCTTGGATTTCAAAGTTATATAGCCCCTACAGGTACATCTCTATTGTACTATTCATACATATGTTTTTAAAAGAACAGTAGAAGAAAATCATCATCCTGATTTAAATGATACACACTTGTCTCAGCAAGAGGGATCAGGCAGCAGAAGCAGATTTTGGCCATATAAAAAAAAAGGGCAAGGACACTTTCAAGATGCTTTTGCATCATTTCTCAAAAATCTCCTTCCTGATAAATCAGAAACACTTAAAATACCTTTTCAATGTTAAACTATTTCAGTGACTAAGTAAAAAGAAAATGTTAAGCAGGCTGAAAACATGTCACTGTGTGGAGTTTAAACTATAAAATACTGTATTCCTGTGAATGGTCTTACCAAAAATTGTAGGTGGCTTATAAACTATTCTGTAAGCCCCAGGCTTTATAAAGTCATTTATAGGCTGCAGCTCCGTATCTGCCTATTTGGGAATGAGCCCCACTGAACCAATTGGACCGTGTGAGGTCCCCAAACAGCAATACCTTGGTTGGCTTAACCAAGCCAACCATTTTTTCCATATAGTTCACCAACTGGGGAGAAGAGGTGGGATGCGAAGAAGGAGGCTGTTTTATCTTTTCTTCACCAACTATTTATCCATGAAAACAGCTTCTCCAGCTCATCATTTACTTCAGAACACCTACCTACCAAGTACCAGGGAGCAAGTTATGCTACATCTCCATGTACTCTTGTCAGTTCCACCCCTGCAGAAGTTCTGCAGAACATGCCTCTGCCAGCAGCCCACAGAATGTTTATCTTTGCTTTTAGGATATGACAGGAAATCCCTGGAAGTGGATTCTCCCTCTGGAAAAAACCTACCTGCACATAGCCGTCTGTGTCCCCAGTAACAATAAGACTCTGCACATCCCAGTCCTTCACTTCCAAGAAGCAGCAGCAGGAAATCATTCCTCCAGCTCTTAAGGTGGCATTTCCTTTGGCTAGAGGCTGCCCGTTGACAGTCCACAGGCACAGGGTCGTTCCAGCGCATGAAGCAACCTCACCCTACAAAACCATCCCAAGGGCAGTGTTGAAGTCCAGGCAATGCCTTTTCCATCACACAAATAAGATCAGAAACCAAAATGAACCCATGCAGGAGAGTCGGCCAGGTCATTAAACAAGAGCCCAGACAGGTAACTTGGAGCTGAAGAGATTGCCACAAAAGCAAACACTCAGAATGAGCTGAGCTTCCTGAAGATTTCTAGGCGTAACAGAAAGGGGTTCTTCATGTGTTCAGAATAAAAAGAAAGGAATCACTGCTCAAGGAAGATGGTGAAATACTAACAACTAACCAAGGAAGGGCAATGCTACTCATTTCCTACTTGGCCCCACTCTTAAAATAGGGCCAACTGCTTTAAGAGTTGCATTAATTTCTGTGGGTGGATTCTCGCACTCACGCAGGGCCCAAAGCATTTCTGAATACATTTTCAAAATCTGGTCAGTTCTATTTTAAGGTCTTTTAATTGCAAATGGAGTTCCCCAATGGATACTGTGGGAATACAATGAAGCATTTTTGTGCACGGCTCATTCGTTCTTTTTAACAGTGAACTCAGGTAGCTGAATTCTAACACTCTGCTTGCAGAACAGGCCAATGGGCACTGGTGTCCACGGGCAGTCAATATTGGTGAGGTGGCAGATAGAGTCTTGTGATGCAAGCCCTGCCCATTTGCACATGCACTGGCACTAGAGGCACCTTCAAAAAGGGTGGGGCTTGTGTTGCAACACACCCTCTAACATCTTGTTGATTTTGACATTCCCCCCCACCAGCAACTGCAGCCATTGAGGAACTAAACTGGAGGATCAGCAAGAAAGCTGTTATGCAGACGTGTAAAACACATAAATCAATACTCTGGAGAGGACACCTTCCTTGTCCCTTGTCCCACAAAACAACTTAATGAACGCAATGTGTTCCCAGTAGTTTCTAGGAGCCACAGTCTGCATGATTTTGCTAAGACTCGGGCAGTTGCAGCTGGTCTAGCCCTGCAAGAGAGAATGAAAGAATCAAGGCAGAGGTTTCAGGGGTGGAACCAGAAGCATGTATGTATGCTTAAAAGAAGAGAAGAAATTAAAAGTGCAAATTAAGAAAAACTGCAGAAATAGGTTCAAGAAAAAGAATAAGAATCTTCTATACTGGAAATGTGCCTGAATAATGATCTTCCCGAAAGACCTTTGTCAATTTCAGTTCCTGGAAAATGCTGAATAAATATATGAATGGCAAAGATGTTTCAGAAAACCGACTCATTGATAAGGAGAAGTGGTGTGGACTTGTAGTATTTTGATCTAAAAGGCAAGAATAACTGATCTACCCAAAGTGTCACCCATAACCTTGGCAAGACGCCCAGGACAGAGGAACTGTGTGGCACGCAGACGGGAAGCCTGCCTTGGATTCTGAACATGGTGGGGACCACGCCTACCCCAAGGAACATTACGAACAGCGGGGGGGGGGAGGAGGAGGAGGAAGATACAGGGCGCAAATGAAGAGGGAAGGAAATGCATTTCCTAAGTCCTAGAAAAAAGCTCGTCTCACATCTGTTCCAGTGACATGAATGCAACACATCCCCCAGTTCAGGCACTGCTACATTTAAAATGCTAAATGAATTGAGAAATGTCACTTTCCTAGTGGTGAAATACTGAGATTTTAAATGACAAGAAAATCTAGGAAATGTTTACACTATAAATTAATCATAATCAGGAAAGGTAATAAGGAGAAAGCAACTGCTGTTGAGTGGAAATGGATGAAAGATACCCTTAACTCTTTCTCTGAAGAAAATTCGTGGTCCTCTTCATGAAGAAAAAAGGAGAAAAGAAAACAAGTCAGGGGCAGGGAGACTTGGACAGAAAAACAAGTATCATGCAGACCCCCAGTAACTGAAATCTTCCACTGATTTGTTCATGAGACAGAAGACAGAGCTCAGCTTGATATCTGGGGGTTGGGCAGGTATCAAGAAAGATGGGGAGCAAGACCGTTTGCATGGGAAAGACAAGGCAGGAGCTGGCCACGGAGCCAAGAATGCAAAGGGAGATGAGGACAGAAAACAAAAACTGGGACAAGCTGATAGGCAAAAGTGACGTCTTTAGATCCAGCTAGTGGTAGGGCACAGATGGATGTAACAGTAGCCCAATTCCTCTTCTGAAATAAGAAAATCCACTACTGGAGGGATGATAAGGGAGCAGGGAGGGGGACCATTTCACTCCTTCTCTTCCTATTCATTCCCAGCTCCAGAGCATCTCCCTCCCCTTCTGGCTTTTCCCAAGTAAATTAATACTTTAGTGCATTTAAGTCCACATAGGGAAAATATGGAGCAGAAAAACAAACAGAAGTTGAAGTGACCTCCACCCTGCTGTTTTGTCCATACTAATCACTTCCCTGCAAGTACACTTCCCTGTTTCAACTAACGCATTTCTTTGGGACCCATGGAGGTATCTGCTGTTTTTCAGAGATTAGCAGTCCAGAAGAGGACATTTGTTTCCCAAGAAGAACCTGGCTGATGTAGACAACATGAGATGACCTCTGGCTGGGGGAAGAAGCGTCTGTTTTTTCACCAACTGGCACCCAACAAAAGAAAATGCATGTAACCAAACACACAGGAGGGCAAACTCTCTTGAAAGCTGAAAGCTCCCAGAGAGAACAATCCTGCTCCTCCTCCTCCTCCTCCTGTTTGGCTTCTCTGACTCAGAGACTGCTTTTAGTGCCCTCTTTCAACATTAAGGATCCTATTAGAAACCTTTGTAAAAAGAAAAAAATCAATCTGTCGCGCCTCAGGATGGTTTCTCACAGAGAAGAGCACCCATTAAGTCATCATGAAATGTTCATGGATTTGTCAGGAGAACGATGATAAATGAATGCCTTACCGTTGAATCATTGATGGCAACAGCTGAGAGGCATGTCTCATGGGCAGGAAGCCGGGTGAGGCATGTCAGCTGGTTCAAGTCCCAGATGATACAGGATCTGTCAGCGGAACCACTCACGATGATGCCGTAGGCCATGGAAGCAGCCAAGCAGGTCACCGGCTGCGTATGTCCATACAGAGGCTGGGGGACAAAGCAAGCAATGACCACAGCACAGAGAGAAGGAAGTGGGTAGCAAGCCTCAGCGTGGTAGCCTTCTTCATATGCCTAGAGACACTCAGCCTGCTCCCCACAGCCAAGGAGTGGGGAACAGGGACTAGCTGAGGGCAGGGCCCCATCGCTTTCTTCATGTGGGGGAGGAGAGCCAATTGTGAAGGGCTAGAAAGCACCAAGGCACCATCCCCTCCATCTATAATGCCCTGATAGGAAGGCAACACTATTCCAAAAGGGTTTAAATAAAAGCTCCCCACACACCCAGAAGAAATACCCCATTAATGTCAAAGCAGTAAAATTGAGGCCTGTACACCAAACTGATACTGGGAAATGTTAGAGCTGCACAGCTTTTTAAAAGAAAAAAAATTGAATAATGAAGCCTTCTCTCTGATTTACAGTGCTATCAACTTCTTTAAATACATCAGTGAACGGTGCGACTCCTGGGGAAAAAGGACAACGCTGTGCTTGTGACCGAAAGGAATGCAGAATTAAATTGCCAACGTTGTTCTGGCACATACTTCTGGTTGACTATGGCTGCAACTCTGTGTTCATGTTTGGTCACTACATCTCAAAAAGGGTGTGGTAAAGCTGAGAAGATGCAAAGGAGGACACCTGGTCTGGGCTATTTACAATGGAAGCTGAAAAAGGGGGAAGTGTAGAGATACATAAAATTAGGCATATGATCAAGAAAACAAACAAGCAAACGAACAAATTTTTCTCCCTTTCTCACAGTGCTTGATGTTAGGGGCAGTCAATGAAGTCAAACGGCAGGAAAATCAAGACAGGGTAACCAAATGGTTAGACAAATATTTCTGAGGCTGAACAAGATAGGATACAAACTCCTGGCTTCTGCTTTATTAGAGGCACACAACTGCCTAATTTACAGTATGTAAGGTTCCTCGGAAGAGAGAGGTAAGAATAATCTAATCCAGGAAGCCCAAACCTTTTGTGCTGATAGGCATCTTTGGAATTTGGAGAAGAGGTTGTGGGTGTTTGGGGAAAAGAAATGTGGGGGGCTTGCCCATAACAAAATGGCTGCCATGAAGGACACAATCAGTTTACACCATTTACTACAATGCAACTAACCCTTCTTTAATCTCTACAGGATACTTCCTTCTTTCCTTTGCCTGCCTTTGTCCCTTTTCTGGGCACTTCCAAACAAAACACTGTGGTGCAGCTGACCATTATTTGTTTCTGGGGCTCATTTAAAGATCACCAAGATTATGTAGAAGCTGACACTCTGCTGTATGGCAGGCTAGCGTTCCACATTTTAATAATTTATAACAATTTCTAAATAACCTAAAGAAGTCTGAGAAGAGCCATTCAAGTGTCTGCAAGGTCATTGGTACTTCCAGGTGCCATGCTGGGAAACCCAAATGCAATCCTTATTTTATTGTAAGCTGCCTAGAGTCATGTAAAAGTGAGATGGGTGGCTATATAAATTAAATGATTAAAATAAATAAAATAAATCCTCCCTGATATACATAGGACCCCCTAGCTTATATAACACCCATCTCTCCTTAGTTAACACAATCCTTCATCCAGTGAGGGGGAACCTTTTCACAAAATGTTCTCTAACACTTACTGGTAGATGTAGAAAGTCCAAGGAAATTTTCTCTGGCAACTGCTGAAGGCAAAGAACACGATGGGTGTCACCTGAATTGGCTCTGGAGATTCCTGAGAAAGTGCATCAGGAATGTCAATTCCAGAGCACTTTGAAAATGATTCCTGATAAGTATGTTGTTGAAGAACATCTCAGTTGATCAACATAGCAATGCCCTACCGGCCTTCTGCAACCTAGTATGATGCTAGTCTCATGGATTGGGATCAAATACAAATGCAGGAAGGGTATTTTCCTTCCCTTCTTCGTTGGCTGTTGGGGAAGGAAGATTACATATCTCTTTCCTCTGACACTGTGGTTATTCCATTGTGAATTGATAATTAAATAAATAAAATCAAGAACTGGAATAGGATGACATACAGTCTAGTATAGCCGTTCAATGGCTTCAAAGGGGGATTAGATAGTTTCATGAAAGAAAAGGCTATTAATGGCTAGATAGTCATGATGGTTATATGCATTTATTTCAAAATTCATTCTTTAGATCAATAGATCTCAAGGTAATCAAATACAATTAGTAAAAGCAATAAAACATGCATACATACATACCCATCATGCTATTCCCTCTCGGAATAAGCAATGTTATACAAAGATATAGTAAGCAAAATAAATTAAAGGCAGAAGACAAAATAAGGTAATCTAACTAAACAGAGTTTACATCAACTCCATTAACTATACCACTCCATACCTTTTTGTTTTAACAAATTATTCTTGCTTCTTTTACTGCAGACATAGCTTCATATTCTACCTTTTATTCTTTAAACTTCTCACCTCTCTTTTCATGTACATTTCATCAAGTCCATTTAACCAATTCATTCTTTTTTTCTTTTTTTTTATGGTTGGATCTTTCAATCTTTCTGTATGGCCAAAACACTTCAGTATACACTGGTCAGTCACTTCTGTATTTAATTTCATTCATCACTTACTAATTTTTGTCCCCTTTTTTCCTGTATGCACATCTTAAGTACATATTCCCACTGCATTCAAATTTTGTTTCTCCTGACATTCCCAACTGTCTCCTCCACATGACAAACAGCTCTTACATACAACAATTTTCATAATTTTTGAGAAACATTCAATCCTTGCAACAGACCAATACTACAGCCCACATACAACCTTCCTATCAGAATTTGCATCTCTTAAAATTCCTCCACCCATTTTCTATTTCCTAACAAAGTACATAAATTCATCCACTTGTTCTAATTTTTCACTATTTATGTATATAATTTGCAGTCATTCCCTGTCAGGTACAGGTACCTTGATCTTTTATGCATTTATTTTCAGACATATGTCCTATGTTGTATCATGCAATCTATCTAACATTTGCTGTAAATTATTAAGGCTCTCAGCAAACAACATGACATCATCTGCTTTGGTCAACTGAATCTTTCAAACATAACAACTTTTAGTAAGATAAAGTAACAGGAGACTATATCAGCAATAAAGCAAAACAATAAAATATAATAAAATGATTCTTCTTGTCATTTTGTCCTATGTATCCAGTACAGGGTTTTTCTAACTGTGTTCTGCGGAACTCTTAGAATTTGACGAGATGGGAAGAACCTTGAGGTTGGATTGGGTTAATGACACATCTAACCCAGGATTCTGCACCAAGAGTGATAAACTAATACATTCAAGAAGATCCTGGTCAGGAACAGAAGGACAAGAGGCTCTCTTCTGCAGCTGCAGAGGTAGTACACAGCCATTGTTGAATCCCCATTAAAACTATCTAAACTGAAGATCATTTTATTTGATGGTAGAGAATAGTTTAACCATGACTCGTGCATGTAAATCCTTCCTTTTATCAGACCTGAATCACCCCACATTTATACAGAAAAAAAAAAATTATTCTAGCCCCTATGCTTTTTAATCTCTATGTCAGTGATATTCCAGGATTCCTGTATGCTCCAGACTCTCATATGCCAAAGATCCATAATAAATTTATTAATATTCTTCTATATGCTGACAATATGGTTTTAATGGTACATTTTCAAATACGCCTGTTGCAGAAGCTGTTGTAAAGCTAAATACCTACTGCGTTTTCAATCCTTTAAACAACAACAAAATGGTATTTAGCAAAAAAAAAAAAAAAAAAGTGAAATACAACTGGCAGCTGGATGGGGAGCCTTTTGAACAAGTGAATTCTTTCACTTACTTAGGAGTGGTCTTTACCAACACAGGGTCATGAGCAAATCATTTTAAAAGAAGCTTAGTGAGGGCTGAGGCAAGTATCAAAAAATTATGTATGCTATTTAATTACAATTACCCACGTACCTTGACCCCCATATTGAAAGTATTTAGGGCAAAAATAGACCCAATGCTGACCTATGGCGTGGAACTCAGAAGCTACCCTACTTGAACAAGTTCAGACCTGCTTTTTAAGAAGCATCCTGGGAACCAACAAGAACACGTCATCCCCCACCGTCAGAGCAGAAACAGCACCCATAGCCACTCAATAATAGAAGTTTTTACCTATTGGCAGAGGATCCATTCAATGGACCCTGACAGACTACCCAAAACATGTTTAGCTGAACAAGTCAGTATGGCTCAGCCCACCACCTGTTAAGTCGACTTACCAAAGTTATCCTACAGCAAGAGTTTTCTACCCAATATTTACTCTCAACCGCCTCCCAGGCAAAGGAAATTTTGAAACTGTTCAAATTTTTAAACAGAGTCCTAGATATCAGTGCCCAAACAGTCATGTTAAAGTAGATCTTTAAACTGGTTGACTAAGAACAAAACCATTTTTCAAACTGACAAATGCCTGTCAGTGAGTTTGACGCAATTCCTAAGAAGGGCCTATTCTAGTGCAAGAGTTGAGTTGTTGGATTCCAGGGCCAAACATGGGCGCTTCCGTCACTTGCCATATCATGTGGGGACGTGTATATGTGGAGCTCCAGCCATCAAAGATACTGCTCATGTGTTATTTGATTGTCAACCGTATGCCCCTTTTGGGCTTTGATGTTTAAAATCCCTACTTGAAAGATCAGCCCACTGGGACCTGAACCACAGATTGTCCTACTTCCTCCTGGGCTCTCACATATACATTGTTAGCAGAATTGCTAAGTTTATAGACAAGGCAGTTCAGCTAAGAATCCATTATACTGAACAGATTGGGATATCATGTAAAGACGATGTATTTATCTGAACACTGACTGTACTAAGCACATATGCATTTTATTATTGTATTTTCTTTCAGCTATTTTATCTTGAAATGGACCTTGTATTTTACCTTTATTTTATTTTATTTTATTTTATTTTTTGATATGGTCATAAGACTAATCAATCAGTAAATTATCTATCCATCTACAGAAAAAAACTTTATCCATATTTTCTATACCATAAATTATCTTATATACGCCTTATCTGGCTTTGTTCCACAATGACACTGTAATCTTTCTTCCTAAGGCAATTGTTCTAGCTTCCCCTAAACATTTTGGTTGCCTTTGCATCTTTTCCAACTTTATGATATTCTTTTTCCTATATGATGGCCAGAACTGTATTACAAAAGCAGTCTCATTATAGATTTATATACCATTATGGTATATATGGTTCTATTTTTATTCACCTTCCTAAACATTACAAGCATACAAAGATTACAAGATTACACATTTTCATCTCTCTGTGACTGCAAGATCCCTTTTGTGATCAGTTGCTGCCTGTCAGCTGAGATTGAAATGCCAGTAAAATGCCTAAGAATGATCACATCAACCACCACTGGAATCAGGGTTTTGATCTGAATCTACCCCCAATGGTTGAAATTCAGTCATATCTTCTGTGTCTAGAGATGGAACATATAGTAACTTAACTGACATTCTTATTTAATAATGTTATTTCCAGATGCAAGAGCATGTATAGTTTACCCACACACACACACACTTCTCAGTTACACTTACGAAGTTTAAAACGTATTTCACCCAGTTGCCTTCATATGGGTCACTTCACTAAACTAGATCTTTGTTTCTATATAGTCTGTCTCATCAGCATCATCTACATAACAGATTACATAAATCCAAAATTGTGTCTGAAGGACACATCTAACCAAGTCAGTGAAAGATTTAGTGGCTGTATTTATGCAACATGCTAAGTTTGCTTAATGTTAACCTTCAACATTATACTGTACTTATTGTATTATGACCCTCAAAATGTGCTAATTCATTAACCAGGTGAAGCAGGTCCTTTATCTTTTCCCTCACTGGGGACTAAGGGTTAAGAAAACCCTGTCCCTAAATCAGAGCTAATCCTGCTAATTCTTTTTCTTTCTCCACTAATTTTTCTTCTTTTCTGATAAGGAACAAGAATTTAAGCCCTTAATGAAAATAGGCTACTATAGCGAAGACATGTTAAAAGTTGCTTTTGGAATATTGGTGTGTGAACCTGTGCACGTGGACATAGAAAAAAAGACACGGAGGACTCTGTGGGAGAAGAAATCAACCTCTATTGCCTGCTAACCATCTGCAGATTTTACTCCAGCAGCTCCATTCAATTTCAGAACAGAAATTGGGGTGCTTTACCTTCTTTAAAAGCAAGGTAGTGGCTCCATTTCTGGTCCTGGAGAGTTCCCAGACACAAACAACGGTGCTGCTTCCAGATGTGATGAGGCTGCTTGGTGTAGGAGACATAGCACAGAGACAATCCCCCCAGTCAGCTGGAGCTTCCAGGATGGTCATCTTCTGTATGAACAAAGGAGCATCCATGGCAGGAGGGAAGCAGAGAAGGGGACAAGAGAAGAGTGGAAATGACATGGATACACTTCTGCAATTACAACATACATACATACATACATACATACATACAAATAATACATTTTGTGGAATTTTAATTAAATCATGGAATACTTTTGTGTGTTTTAATCAAAATACTTCATTTTTAAAAAAAGAACTATAGAAAACGTTGAAAAGCAAATACGTGTTTTAAAACAATTTAATACTGGTTCTTTTTGCCAGTTTTTCTGAAAAATGATATTTACCAAATTATTTTGAATATGAAGTCTGTGCCTTCCTCCACTGATACCAGCTTCTTTCTCCTAGTCACAATCACCAGTGAACGGTCACCAGACAATTATAATATGGAAACACTAATGCATTCATAATAATAAGTATATTACTTTCAAAATGCTTCATGCTGCTTATTAGCCTGAAAGATACATCAATCTTATCTGCTATACATTGCTGAAGGAAGGAAAGAGAGATTTTTCATTCATCTAGCGATGCCCTTTCCCAAAATATTCCATTCCCCATGCACACAGTTTTCTGTTTCTTTTTTCTCAGCCATCATTCTGAATTCTCTCACCACTGAGTTTGAACATTAGGTTGTTTGGTTTCATCCCAATCCCCACCCTCCCTCTGATACACACACCTTACACTCTGTTGATATCTGTCTTATTTGTGAACAATTCCATTTTGGCTGCATAAGGATCAGCAATAAGACAACATTTTTACTAACTCACAAATTTAAAATAATTAACTTGGCAATGCTGCAGACAGCATCTGGATTAACCTAAGTGGAGGAATATATAAAACAATTGTTATTGGTGTCTATATCGCCTTCCCAATCAAGGAGAAGATGTGGGGGTGATGTCTTTCAAAAGCAAATTCCAGAGCATGGTTGTAGTGATGGCAGAATTCAATTATCTTAACATCTGTTTGGAGACAAGCTCTGCTAAGCATGGGGGTGCCAGAAAATTCCTGACTTGTCCTGCTGATGGTTTTCTCCTTTAAGGTTGGTGGATCAGCATCCTTTACCTGATCTTAATCAACAGGGAAGACTTAGCTCAGGAATTGGAAGTGCCAGAACACTGGGGGGAAGTGACCATGAAAGGTTGAAGTACCTGATTTTAAGGAAAACTAAAAGTAGAAGTAATCAAACATGTATCTTGGACTTTGGAAAGCAGATTTTAATAGACTCAGAGAATGATAAGTAAGATTACATGTCAGGAATAGGTAATGGAGAAAGGAGCTCAAAAGGGTTCAGGAATCTTAAAAAAGAAAATATTAAAAACACAACTATGAACAATTTCAATGAGAAAAAAATGGAACACAGCAAAAGAAACCAATATGGATAAACAAGAAGTTTAAGGAAGGTCTGAAAACAAGAAGGAACATACAGGAATAAAAAGAGGACCAGATCACAAAGAAAGAATCCAGATAAATAGTTTAGGACTAAACTACAAACACAGAGAAATTGTTGTCATGAGAATAGGGAATGCTGGCTCAGAGGTACAAGAAAAACTGCTACAACATAAATCTTCAGGGAGGAGAGAATGAATCCCATTAAGTGTATGGACAACAAAAATTAGAACTTAAGTTGCATGGATCCTTGGACTGATCATCCATGAAAATCCAAATGAAAAATCTTGCCACTTAGATAAGTGAATTCCTGGTGCCAGATTCTATTTTATTAATTTGTATGCCACCCATTTTGGAAGGCTCTGGGTGACTAAGAGAAAATGACTGCCCTCTGAGTGGTGAAACTCTCTGCATCTTCATCAACATAGTAAGTTCTGGCATGAGACAGATGTAGCAGTATTGGAAACTGCCAATTAAATTAAAACTATCCAGAGTTGTGTGGCAAATAAATTTAATTAACCAACTAACCTCTGCTACCTTAGCTACCAGGCAGTAATTAAGACACTTCTGTTTCCTTCCACTGAACCCTGGAGATATCTTTAATATTGAAGAAACATATAATAGTGGGTTCAACTGCATGTCCTATTCTATCATCCTACCTTCATTCCACTTATTATCTGCTCTAGGTTCTCTACTTTTCCAGAACCACAAGTTCCATCTCTTGCTTTGAACTTACTCTTATCTCTATTCCTGACGATTTGAAGAAAAGCCAACTTCTCCCAGTTCTGAGTAAGACAACGTTGCTTGAAAGTTGTCAAGCTGCGTTTTGATTTAAGGCAGCAATGTTTCCAGAGTAGCTCCTCCTCTATATTCATCTTCCAAGAACCAGTTCATGGCACTGGATGACCAAATTTCTAATTTTTAAATGTTATAACAAACTGTAATTGTACAACTGAAAATTTGTACAATCTGATCCTTGAGATAATTTTGAAGTGGTGCTTTGGGGTGCATATGAGCCCTGGATGCAGCAGCCACACAAACTTGAGAAAGGAGTAGTTTCCTTAAGGTATTACAGACAAGTGCTATGTTCATGCTCCTGCATGCTCCAAAGCACATTTTGGAGACTGAATCCAAAGCACAGTCCCAGTTGTTAGAACCTCAGTCAACTGGCATTTTTTTTAAATGAACACCCTGACAAATCATGTGTTATAGGAACCACAAATTGAGAGGAAGTTACATGAAGGATCACCAGTTCTCCCAGACAACAATCTGGGACAGAATGCCTGCAGAATCCTGGCCTCTCCAGAGTGAAGTCAGTTAATAAGAAATTTAAGATTTGTAAATCTAGTAGGCAAAGGTATAATAGGTCTAAATATTTGTAAATCTAGTAGGTAAAGGTATTCCTATTAGTACCAGAATTCCTATTAGTACCAAAGTTCATAAACAGGACATTGTCCATTGTCAGAGTGAAGCAATTTCCACAGCATCCACTGGAAACAGGAAGAATTTGCTCAAGTATGACTGAAAACAGAGTAAAGGTCATACAAGTTAAGTTCTTCAGGAAGAGTTAGGTGAAATCATAAATAGAGGAAGCTTTAGACTCCGCCTGAGCACAACTGCCACAGTCCAACTGTGATTTCCAGCATTAGCCTGCTTCCCAGTAGACCTGCCTGTGGTAGGTGCTTCTTTGTTTGGCAGAGATTCTTCTGCTTCCTTGCTATTTGACTCTTCAGCTGGGGATGATGGTGTTCCTGTGTGCTGGATTGATGTGATTCCAGTTTAAAGTCCAAATCACAAGAATTTTGAGGGACAGAGCTTCACCTCTAAGGCAAGAACTCTGTCTCCATGAGTTCCTTGTCTTAGTCTTTCTCCTCCTCCTCTTCTTCCTAATCAGAAGGTGACACTTCAAAGAGGAGCAGAAGTGTTCACAGCAGCAGTCTTGTATAAACAATTACAGCTTGGTTGCTTACACAATGAGTACAAGGCATTGACTGCTGGATATTCTGGATAGGGAAGAACACATTTGGTTATCTAAACATGAATAAAGATGATACCTCACTTTTGGGGAAGCACAGGCTGACCAGAATGAGAATCCAAAGCCACACCAGTGAAATGAATGGGCTACACTGGGGGGAATTTGGACTTCTCCAGGGTCACCAAGGAATCTAAGAACTGCAGGAGAGATAAATGATAAGTGCTACAAGCACACAGTAGAGACCTTGATAATGCACCCAGGCACTGTATGCCATGTCATGCAAACAGAAAGATAGCCCTAAGGTTGAGAGGCTACCTGCAAAAGCATTATTTCTTTACTGGTAGTTTCCTGAGTGAGTTTACTGATTATTCTTGTTATCCTCCAAGCTGCAGCTGATCACTACAAACCACCTGGTATTTTATTTTTCTACAAGCCTCAGAATGACAAGACCTCAGAATCATGATGAGTGAATAAAAGCATGGGTGGAGTAAGGAAAAGTTAGATATCTCTTTTCTATATTAGGCTTAGGAATATGCAGACAGCTCTGTGAAGAGCCTATAACATGCCCTTGGAAAAGGTGTTTCTTCATTGCTGTTCACCCAACTAGGGGTCCTGGATCTACAGCACCTGCCAGAGGATTCTGAAACCAAACCTAATTCCACGGCATTATTTTCATGCAGATTAAAGTCTATATAATAATATATTAAAAATATAAAAAGAATAAATATAAAAATATTATACACACACACACACACATACGAAAAAATATTAAAAAAGAAAGTAAAGGAATTATACTAATGGTAGGCAAAAGTACCAGGCTAGAAGCCAGGAGACTGTGAGTTCTAGTCCCAGCTTAGGCACAAAGCCAGCTGGGTGACCCTGGGCCAGTCACTCCCTGTCAGCCCTGGGAAGGAGGAGGAGGCCAGGGCAAACCGCTTCTGAAATCTTGCCAAGAAGACCGCAGGGACTTGTCTGGGCAGCCGCCAGGAGTCAACAGTGATTTGAAGGCACAAAACAAAAACAAAAACAACCAAACAAAAACCAAAGAGGAGGAAGAAACAAATGAATGAGAACCTACAAAGTATATGTTATTATTTAAAAATATTAAAGTTAGCAATCAGATAATTAATTGCACTAAGAAAACATAGAACAAGTCTTACCTTCTTCAGTTATTGATCACAGCTTTTTTAAAAAGTGGTTTGAAAGTTGCAGTGTGTCCTATCTTTCAGGACAAGCAACTATTAACCCTGAGAAAATAACTTATTTCTTATTTTAACTCTATTGCACTAGTATCCAATAGTGAAGTAAAAGAATTCCAAAATGGAAATGTGTGGCGCTGAACTGCATGTTTTGGCCAACTTTCACATTTTCTACAGGATCAAATATTTAGCAGGCACACAACTTAGAACTATCACTGTGTTCTGTTTGGAAAAAAAGCACAACTGAAAAGCAACTTGTGCAACCTGCCACTCAATTTACAAAGCCAGCTATATAAACTAATTAGGCCCTGTAATTTCATTAGCAGTGCTGGTGTTAACTGGCAGAAGGAAGAGATGCTCACTGGGGCTACTGTTTTTCCCCCTTTATAGATGAAATTTTGATTTCTGCTTTGCTTTGGGTTGGGTGCCCTCAGTCTAACCCAGATGATTTGGAGATGGATTGGGGTGGGGGTGGGGATAGGAGTAAGAAAAGGACAAAGAACTTTGAACTGTGACTTTCATGCCAGTAAGATTAATCCTGTAACTTGTATTCATTTTACCATTTCACGCAAGCTTCTCTTTTTGAATAAGGTTGACTTGCTGGTTGCCTGTCTTCTGGCCTATGTGAGGTTGCTATGAGAACTGTACACAGTGGCAGAAGGTATATCACTCCTTGATTTGCACACCTGTCTTGGGTTTGGTGTGTGGTAGTAGCTCATGGTGTACAAGACAACATACCTTGGGTTTCATGACCAGAACAGAGCAATTATTCAAAAGGAGCCATATAAAAGGAGGAGGAAATGCACTGTATGTTAAAAAGAAATGCAATGCTGCAGAGACCATCCAGGTTAAAATAAGTGGAGGCACAAATAAAAGCAATACAGTTGATGCCTTCCAAAAGTAAACTGCAGGACTTTCAAAGAGGTATGAAATAACAGTCATGGGAGATCTTAATCACTTTGACATCTGTTAGAAGACAGACTCTGACAAAGCATGGGGTCCTTCCAGGGAATTTCTGACTCCCTTCACTGATTTAATTCAGGAAGTAGAATAAGAAAGAACATTGGTGGAAAGTGAGTGTTATACTCCAAAGTTCTTGATTTTAGGGGAAACTAAAACTGAGTGTAGTCAAATACATATTTTTAAAAAGTAGATTTTAATACATCCAGAACAATGGATGTATAAAAGACCCTATGGTAGGAAAAGCTAATAAGAAAAGGAGAAAAAGAAAATGGATGGGGTTTCCTAAAGGAAGCACATGTATAAGCATTTCTAAGGAGGAAAAAATGGAGGACAGAAGAAAAAACGAATGTGGCTACACAAAAAGCTTACCGAAGATCTAAAGGATACATATGGATAGAAGGCCTGCTCACAAAGGAAGAGTTCCGATAGGCATCCAAGAACCGTAGAGCTGATGTCACTAGGCTCACAATGAGCTACAATGCTGCTGGCACCAAAAAGAGCTTTTTAGATTTTTTTTTAAAGCCCCCCCCAAGAAAGAAAGAAAGAAAGAAAGAGAGAGAGAGAGAGGGAGGGAGGGAGGGAGGGAGGGAGAGAGATCACTATATCACTTGCTCCATCAAATAAACAAGAGGCCGGATATTTACGGTATCTCCTGTTTGGTTTGGTTTTCTTCAACAAAACACAACACATAATTTCTTTGTGTGCCACAAAGAAATTATGAAAAGCAGGATGAAGGGACAGAACTGAAGACTGAGAATACGCTAGAAATAAAATCAAGGAATTCCTCACTAAATGAGTTTCAGACTCCAAGGGCACATGAATTGCATCCTTGAGCAGCTGAAGAAACTGCTGATGGCTGGCCAAACCTCTAATGCTCTGAAAAATTCTGGAGAACTCATGAAATGCTAAGTGACTGGAGAAGAACAAATGCTGTTCCTAACTTCAGATAAGAGGAAAGAGAAGGTCTAGGCATCAAATCTGTAGAGAGTATAGAGGATTACTTTGATGAACAGAAGGATGATCTGTTACCAAAGCAATGATCAGATAAATGTGGCTTGAGAACATACCAAGAAAGAGATTTGCAAAAATGCCTCAGATAGCTCTCCCCAATTCACAAGAAGATAAAGGAGAAAGGAGGGGAAACACATTCAGACTTGCAAGATTCTGTTAATATAGCTGTAAGTACAGTGGTACCTTGGGATACGAACTTAATCCGTTCCATGACTCTGGGCGTATCCCGAGTTGGTCGTAACCCGAAAAATTCGCAAGCAGAGGCGTTCGTATCCCGAGGTATCACTGTAGTTGTAAGCCCACATTGTGTCTATTTCTTAATCTGGTCTACCTTATAGGGCTGACAAAATCAGTCAGACAGGGATCTGCTGGGAAGATTCTACAGCACATGATACAGATTAATTTATAAACACCTTGAAAGCAGTGCAAATAACCAGAATTCAGTATGGATCTGTCAAGAATTAATATAGACTATGAGGTCTCTAAGAGACAACACCAACTTGATGGCACATAATCAATCAATACATCTTGATTTCAACTAAGTACTTGATGAAATCCCTGTGACTTAGTGCATTCTGCAGGGACACAATGTGGCTATATAGCCAGATCAAAATTAAAGTTCTTATTAATGGTTCCTCATCAAATTGAGGGGAGGTTCAGTGGGTTACCCCAAGACCTCCAGTCTTCACATTTTTATTAATGACTTAAGAACTGGAGGGTTGGAGTCTGCAGATGACACAAAATTGGGTCAGATGACAAAGAATTGTGGGGGATACCTAATATCCTAGAAGACAGAAATAAAATTTAAAATGATTTTGATACATTAGAGAAACAGGCTGAAAGTTAGAGATATAAATATATATCTTTATATATATTTAAATTTATACAGATATAAAGTACTTCATTTAGCAACAGAAAATCAAATGCATAGGTATGTGATGGGTGACAGCTGGATATGTGATAGGTGAAAATCTGCTGCGTCATGGGACTGCAGAAAAAAAAAAGTAAATGCAACTGTAGGTTACATGCAGTTTGTTCTATTTTGGTCAGATTCCCACCCTTCCACCATATCATGTCCAGTTTTGAGCACCTTTTGCAAATACCTGCAAGGATGGCATATGAAAAAGTGAAAACCTTTTGTTTCTTTTTCTAGAGTGCAGGACACTAATAAAAGATTTAGGTTACAGGCAAGCAGATTCCAACTGAATGGAACTGACTACCCAGAATGGAGGCAAAGTCCTCTTTACTGGAGGTATTCAAGCCACCTGGGATGAACAGGTGCCACCATCTGCCTGGGATACTTGAATGCAGCTTCCTACACAACCATGGAGTTGAAAATCCCAAAGGCCCCTCCCAGTGCTCAGATTTTATGGTTGACTGAGAGTCAGCTTTTCAGTCACTTTCGGTTGACTTTAGAGATATGAGTAAGGCCCACATCTAGGCTACTACTCTGTCCTTTGTCCCATACAATTCCACCATAAAATTATTGCCATAATTTTTGCACTTTTTAAACACTGTCATGTGTGTTTGTTTTGCACACTAAGGACAAAGAATGCTGCACAAAGTGAATGATACATTCTCCTACATATAATATGTTCAGGTACAAAGAGGAGGACCCAGATTGAAGTTATTATTACTTTTATTTATGTCCTGCCTTTCTGTCCAATATAAGTTGCAAACATATATATTCATGATTTTGTTCAAGAACTTTTGGTGTATTTGCCAAATACTCCAGATCTTTCAATCCATGGCATGCTCCTACTGGCAAAAAATGAAATGGAATATACCAAAACTGCCTGAAATATACAGAGGAACCAACCTATCCATAGCTGAGTATCCCAACATGCAGCAATCTATTGTTCATTATTACCTTATCTGACCCAGAATCGGCCAGGCAGCAGGTGAAGTCACTGAATCCCCAGCGAAAGGCTTTATTCCATAGTGGAGGAAGCAAAATACTTTTCTTCTCCACAGCCAAAATCCCCTTTTCTGTACACACAATATGACCAACAGGGCCTTGAGGTGGCTCTACAGAGGAGAAAGAAAACAGCTCTAGAACACATTTTAAAGGGGGGAAATACAGTATCTGCTGCTTGACTTTATCCCAGAAAGTTTTGTGCCATCCGATGTCTAAAATTCTTCTCTTTTTCCTCCAAGTCTCTTCTTTAAAAGTGTGTGGACATTTATCTTTGTTCCTACCTTTTTGTTTCTTGGTGGGCAAATGGGAGGGTGTTGTGTGGGAGTAACACCTTTGGGGCCATGCCAGCTCATGGGGGCTGAAAGAGCTGCATTGCTGGGTGGAATGTTTTATCAGCCTTCTTTACAGGTGCTTCATAAAGTTCATTGTGTTCTGTCTGTGTGTGAGACTCTTCGATTATTTCTGCAACACAGCAAGCGCGATACTGCCTAATTATAGCGACATGTCTACTCTTTTATATGGATAATTGTTTCAGGGAAGAGTCTTTCCATGTACTTCCTCCCCAATCAGCCAACTGCTTTCTCTGTCTAATGGCCTTATCTGTCTATATTCTATTCTCTCCAAACCAGTGGAATGGTAGGAAAGAATTACTCCAGAAGCCATGTGTTGTATTTTTTCCTCTCCCTTGTTTTAGAATATTGTTGTTTGCCTAAATATTTCTTGTAATTTCCTTAACTGGCCAAGCTAAAGGCTAAAGAAGACAGTGGTATTCTTGTTGCCAGTTAAGGATTTGTCTTTACCTTTGATGTCCTACCTGGCTTGGGACCCAGGCCCTGGGAGGAGAGCCTCTTGGGACTTTCAAACTAGGCTCTTTTCTGACATCATTGTTAACTGAAACAACACGGATTGTGATTTTCAGTCCCAGAGTTCCATTTTTGGAACTCTTCTCTATGAAGATGTGCCTGGTGTCCAATGACATCCTTTTCATTCTTTCACAAGCTTTACATCTTCATCTGTAGATCTTAATACATTGCCTTAATATTTGTTTTGCCTTTGGATTATTTTAAATTCATCATTGGTTGAGGAAGTCTATAGGAATGCTTCAGATGAAATAAATGGCTAGTGGAAATCTCAGTCACCTAATTCCTTGTTAATATTTGGGCAGAATGTTGTTTTCCTTATTTCTCTAGTTTTGTAAAGGTTAGGCTTCTGTTATAAAATGAAGCTGGGGATATACAGTAGGTCAGCTCATGTTCCAGATTCCCATCATTCAGTCCACCAGCAGGGCCATCTGGGAATTGTCCTATCACTTCCTTAGGGATGGTGCTGGAACTCCAAGGGAGTCTGTGCAAGTTCCCAGTTCCACAGTGAACCCCAAGACCACCCACCATCTTGTCCCATATTTTCCAAAAGAGATTTGGCAGCAGTGGAAAATACCCGTAGTGGAGACTTTATTAAAGTTCTGATCATGTTGGAGGGTTGAGCAATGGCTATTATGCTCCAGAGGCACATACTTGCAGCAAGTTTAAGGTCATTTGGGGGCTTGATTGCAAACTCTTCCTTCTTAGATGGATATACTTCACAAAGTAAAGGGGAGGAGTCTTGCATTGTGGTGGTTATTGCATCGTTTCCTTTGTGCCCTCCACCACTTCCATGGAGAAGATTTCTTCCTATCCATATTTCCAGAGAATTATTACAAAATACTTCTAATAGCCATTTTAAGATTCAAATGTGGTATTTACATAACTCAAGTTTCCTCCTGACTGCTCATACTGAAGAATAGAACAGATTAGAAAGTATCCTCTAGCACAGTGTTTCTCAACCTTGGCAACTTTAAGATGTGTGGACTTCAACTCCCAGAATTCCCCACCCAGCAGTTGAAGTCCACACATCTTTAAGTTGCCAAGGTTGAGAAACATTGCTGTAGATTTCAAAAAAAGGTGCCCCAAACCTGGCAATATTTATGCACTAGGCATTATAATGATCTCTGCGCACTGTTTATCTGGTCTATACCTTTGGGAGTAACTGATGAGAGTTTCAGATTATACAGATTACTGACAGACAATGCCGGAGAAGCAAAGAGGATGCTATTTCTTCCCACTGGATGTTTCTTCAGGCTCACAGCATTCCTGGCTGGATGTGGTTTTGTAAAAAGCTGTGAAAAAGGATAATAAACAAAAAATGAGTTATATCAAATCAATGAATCCTGTAAAGTAACACACACATGCACCAGAAGTCCCCATTGCATGTTTTTAAAATATTTGTTCTCTTAACTTTTATTCACTCGAAGGAGTTGGTAGCAATCAAAAACTTCTACAAATAGTGCTGTAAACAAAGTATTAAAATAATAAAGCAGAAATTTAAACTCTAAAAAAATTAAAGTACTGTAGTAAAATTATATTGTTGCCCAGGGAGGAAACACCACACTTCAGTCAGTGATGAGAACATGCTGCTGAGTCTTGCTTTTCTATTAGAAAGACCAGGAAGGGGGAGTAATGACCAGCATTTTTCAGAGGGGTCAGGATGACAATTAGGAAACAGATGGCAGAAAGACACCAAGTGTCATCAAGCACAGATCAGAGAATTACTCAAGATTTAGTCTGAGAATACCTTGGCAGTGAAAATACCCTGCTTCTCCACCACCATTGCTTCTGTTCAGTTGGGGGTGGCGAGAACTGTGTTTCTCAATACTCTGCAGCTTTGCCTTCATTTGGCAGAAGCAAAATGCTCATAATGCCAATGCTTTAGATGGCAAAGTTGTCACTAGTTAACACCATTAGAGAGAAATAGTTCATTAGCAGATAGTTTGGAGTTGTTTGCTTGGAGATACACACTAATTGCTTGGAGGTTAGTAATCCACTCTCTGCTCTTTGGATCCTTACCCATCATGCTTGCCAAAGTTATCCAGAATGAATTGAGCATCAGTCTTCAATGATAACATATGCCCCTCCACAGAAGAATAAAGCCCCTTCTGTTCACCAGGAAGACACCTATGCAACTGAATGCATTAGCTTAGATTCCACAGATTTGAACAATTCTCAACCAGTTCTCCAATCTCCCCTTTTAAGCATGTCTTAGGGGGAGAAGAGGCTCTTCAACTCCAGGCAGTTTTAGAGCAGTGGTATACAGGATGTCATTGCAAGAGAAACTAATGGGAAAGTAGCTGTAATAGGAGTAAAGCCACTCCCAAAAAGTCACCTAAAAGACAGCAGAAGCAGCCTATGTGGCTGCACAAGACCTCAGTGAAATCAAGGGCTGGACCCCACCGCTTGAATGGCCCCTTCTAGTTTTATGAGTCAGCTGGACCTTCGATTTTTTCCTTGAAAGGTTACCACCCAATAAATAAAAACTATAATTCTGTTCAGTTATTTCTAATTTAATATCCTTTAAAATATGATGTATTGGTGACAAATGATCATCCACTGATGCTAATATATTAAGCAATCTAATCTGAAATGTCCAAACACCTCTTTATCAATGGCTATCTGTGATAGGATTTATTTTGTAAGTATACTAAGTCCTCTAATACTAGACGAGTCTCTGAGACATTTTGGGGCTGGTAGAGAAATACCAAAATACGTTTTAAGTGAAGATATTGCCACCTTGAACTTTTGGCAAATTTGTTACAGCTCAAATAACCAAAAAAAAAAAAAATCATTATCTATTTCTGTTAATACAATACAGTACAATACCTTTATTTTGGTTTTTGACCAATATAAAGCCTATTCATTCATTTTAGGCATACAGACCATCCTTTATCTAATTTTGCCAATAAAAAAAGTTCTGCTATTTTCAAATTTAGATTCCCCCCAAATGTCAAATTAAGCATAATCATAAAGATCAAACAGACATGGTTTGCTATTGCTAACATAGTAGCTAAGTCAGTAAGGGAGGAATTCCATACTTAATAAGTTAATTTGTCTTTAAAACTTTCCAGTTTGTATGGATGGCAACAATGCCACTCAATAACCTTAGAAAGAAGATATGCTTTATGGTACAGACTTAAACCTGAAAAAGTAAAATATCCTTCTCTATTAATTAAAGCTGCTGAATGAAAAATGAAGAATGTTTCCCAAATAAGCCAGTATTATTCTTCTTAAAATACATTTTAGGAAGGTATAAAGACATATCCCATATGTTATAAATTACCCCTGGAAAAATTCTTCATTTTTATCTAGTAATTTGACACCAAGTCATCTTGGTGCATTTGAGGGTCTGCAAAAAAGGAACCGAGGGACTCGGTCAAATTTGAAAGCTCGTGGTTGCTTATCCTTATTAAGAGCTGATCTGCTTCTATATCTATATAAATATTCAGGGTTTCTATTAGTAACTTGCTGTAATAACTTGATGGAATACCCTAACCCATTAAATCCAGCTGGAGGGTTTATCTCTGTGTAAGGAAGGAAACGGCCATTCATGCCTGCTTCTAGGATACCTCTTGATCGTGTTCTTGCTCCGTCAACACTCAATGATTGTTTGGAAATTTATCAACACAGGAATTAGTCCTCATTACATAGTGATTTACAGAGCTAGATGTAAATGTTCCGATGGAAAGCTCTTTATAAACTTGGAAGAAACAAATATTCAAGTCCAATGACTGAGCTAAAGAGTCAGATAATTATAGTATTTAATAACCCTGATTATTGATTAGGTGAGAAAAGATGGTGTATATGATTTTCAGGTTATCAAACTAGAGTAAAAACTATTTAAAATTGCGTTAAACTCACAGAGAGTATCACAAAAGTTAGCATATGAATGCAGACAAAGGGAGGATCTCCACTGTGATTTGTATCACCTTCTAGAGTCATCCAACCATCATTGCGTCAACATAATATTAATAAGGACAGGTTTTATATTGCTTCAGTGGTGGCTTGGTGATACTAGAAAACACCGGAATTCACTAGTGGGGAAATTGTAACAGTGTGCAGATTCATATAGACTTTTACCTTTTACAGGTTGAAATGCACGAGCAGGGTATATGGGCAGGACAGGAAAAACAACAAAATAAGAAATCTGAATAGAGAAAAAGTTATATGGCGCAATCTTACTTTGGAAATGATAGAGAGATGGGTCTCTCTGAATGATTTGTTTTAATTAATTTTGTTAGATTTACTGTATGTTCTACTTTAGGAGCTCAAGGCAGCATACCTAGTATCCTTTAATTTTTTCTGCAACAACCCTGTTAGATAAATTGGGGTGAGACAGTGACTGGCTCAAAGTCACCCAGTGAGCTTCTACAGCTGAGGGAGGACTTGAACTCCTGGTCCAACCACTACACCACACTATCTGTCTAGTTTCTGCTTCCAAGAACCATTTATCTCTATCCCTCCCCCAGAGGGAGAAGAGAATGAGAACAAAACATAAACTTTGGAGGCCTGAGAGATCCCCAAATTTGGATTGTGGCCTTCTCACATTAGCAAGAAAGGACCTGTGCTAAACATTGCAAAGAAGCCAGAAAATGACCATGAAGAAGTTAGAATCTCGTTCTGCTTTACCCCAACCTTCTTTCAGCAACTGGGTTACTTTTCCAAGAAATCTTGTAACAACAAATCTCGCTGTGAGATTAAAATAATTTCACTTCTTGGTAATTCTATGTCTGCTATTGCTTAATAGCAAATTGCCTACATATTTGCATTGTACCTGCTTTGGGATCTGTCCAAAGTTGCTGACAAATCCCAGGATGGTGCTTTTGATGAGAGAGTCATTAACGTTGTCCATGTGTACTCGATCACTGTAGAAGTAGGGATGAAAGACATTCACAGCCTTCATCGCAGCCGGGCCCTGCTGCTTGAAGCCAAAGATAAGATCTATCCAATGATGGAGGTGACTGCTGACGTAATCACTTTCCAGTGCCTGAAACCCAACCAAATTCATTCAGTTGCCTTGACAGCAGGAATGCCTCCTATCCCTTCTTATGGGCGAGGGGCTAAGCAGGACCCTGCATTTCTCTGCAGTTGCATACCATCATGTTTAATGAAAATGTTCCACAGGAGCTGAAGTGGTGGTGGGCAGAAACAACAGGGTCTCACATCCTCCTTGGTTTAGGTTTTTCTCAGGAAAGTATACAAAGAGATTACCAAAAATGATTTGTGTAAATGCATTTAATTAGTCTATAGAAAGGTGTGCAACCTTTCCCAGGCCAAATGCTACCCTTGGTCTTGGGATACCCCACAAATAGTGGCCAATCCATTTACATTGGAGTAAAATTACTATTTGCCAGGGATGCCTCTAACAATTTTGCTCTTCCATTAAAAATGATTATTTGGCAACTAACTTTGGAGCTCTTTGTGGGCTGCAGTCCAGGGTCTTTGGGAAGGGCACACCGAGCCCTGGGGCTTCAGATGGTTCCTTGTCAAGCCCAGCTAGAGAAGAGTTTGTGTCACCCCAAAATTAATCTGAATCAAGAAAGTTCCCTGTCAGATGTTGGGGAGGGAATGCTGCTAGAATGGTCTCCAACTGATTATAGTCTCATGTGCGAACTGCTCAGAAATTACTGATTTAGAATTTGTCTACATTAATCTTAATAACAGTTAAGTATACAAGTCCAACATATCACAATGGTTTCATGTATAATTTCTGCTACAAAATACAAAGGGGATGAGGAACAGCTGCAAAAAGGGAATCATATTCCTTTTCAGAGATTTCCCCATATACAGTGGTACCTCGGGTTACGAACGCCTCTGCTTACAAACTTTTCGGGTTGCGACCAGCTCCGGCCGCAAAAATTTACCTCGCTTTTCGGACTCCGCC